CCAGAATTCCCCAGCCAGCAAATGCTGGCTGGGGAATTCTGGGAGTTGAAGTCTGGACATCTTCAAGTTGCCAAGGTTGAGAAACACTGTCTTAGGGATCATCTTCCAGCAGGGAGCCACTCAAATACGCTGCATTAAATGGATTGTCTGGAGATTGCAGGCAGTCCTCGACTTACAACAGTTCATGATCCTATGATTAAAATTTAGACACTTGGCAACTGACTCATATTTATGACGGTTGCAGAGACCCGGTATCAGGTGGTCACATTTTGCGAGTCAATGGGGAAGCCAGATTCACTTAACAACCGTGTTATTAACTTTCACAGCTGTGGCAAGAACGTTCGTAAAACGGGGGCAAAACTCGCTCAACAAATTTCTCCCTTGGCAACATAAATTGTGGGCTCAATTGTGGCCGTAAGTCGAGGACTACCTGTATAGAAGCAACTCGTTCATGGACAGTGGTGAAATCTAATTTTTTTGCCCACCTGTGGGCGTGGCTTAATTGCGGGGGGGTCGTGTGACTGGGTGGGTGTGACCAACTTTTTTTCACTTTTTAAAGCAATTTTTTCCCTGCAGGTTTGAGCGAATAGGCAGGAAAAAAATGCTTTAAAAAGTGGAGGAAAAAAGCTTCCGACGATCGTACGGCTCAGAGCTGAGCCACACAATCCTCAGAAGCTTTTTTTACTACTGGTTCGTAGAACCAGGGACAATTGTCTCTACAGGTTCAGCCAATCTGGGCCGAACCCCAAGGATTATCACCCCTGTTCACGGAGGACTCTAGGCTGCAGAAAACTGGATTAGCAAGGGATGGCTAAGATTGTTGTAATGCCACTCTACTGACAATAGAAAGAAGAAAGTCATGATTACATAAAACAACTAAGACAAACCTTTGCAATTAACTTTGAATCATCTTTGATGTAAAACAATGGATGGGAACTAAGAGGCAACCTGTAACTAAGGAAAAGATTCCTGGCAGTGGGAACAATTCATAAGCAGAATGACTGGCCTCCAGAATCTGTGACCCTGCAGGTTTTTAAAGAGAGATTGGGCATGCATGGCATCGCCTGTTCCACTTCCGGGTTTCTGGCACGCATGCGCACACGACAATCAGCTAGCCTTTGTGCCTGTGGCAGTGCCGGGAACTGGAAGAGCGGGTCTTCTGTTTTCAGGCATGACCATGCGTGCTGGCCAGCTGATCGGTGTGCGCGCATGCCTGGCAGTAACCGGAAGACTTGCTGGCCACTGCGCATGCACTCCCCGGACACCGGAAGTTCCTTTTCCGGTGCGCGCATGCATGCCCCCTGGGCAGCTCCTCTTCCTGGTCGTGGCCTAGGCGAGCATGCAGACTCAGTCCAACACAGGCACGCACACACGCTCCCTTTTCAGCACTTGAGCGATCGTGGATGCACCTCGGTTCACCCACGTTACACCTATCCTCCGCGAGCTGCACTGGCTGCCTATTGGTCTTCGTATACGCTTCAAGGCGCTAGTCGTCACTTATAAAGCCCTTCATGGTATTGGACCTGGGTACTTGAGAGACCGCCTGCTGCCAATTACCTCCAATAGACCGATTAGATCCCACAGACTAGGCCTCCTCCGAATTCCATCCGCCGGCCAATGCCGACTGGCGACCACCCGGAGGAGAGCCTTCTCTGTGGCTGCTCCGACCCTCTGGAACGAGCTCCCCGTGGAGATTCGAACCCTCACCACCCTCCAGGCCTTCCGCAAAGCCCTTAAAACCTGCCTGTTCCGACAGGCCTGGGGCTAAAGAGCTGTTGCCCCACGTCTCGAATGGTATGGTTGTTGTGTGCTTTTAGATTGTGTATTGTTTTGTTTGTCTTTTTATTCCTTATCTGTATCCCCTTCCCTGACTTGGATTGTGAGCCGCCCTGAGTCCCCTCCGGGGAAAAGGGCGGCATATAAGTGCAATAAATTCAATTCAATTCAATTCAAAAGGTTTGCCGTCACTGGTATAGGGTTTCCTACTTGAGCAGGGGGGGGGGGGCCTTGGGCTAGAAGACCCCACCAAGGTGCCTTCCAACTCTGTTATTCTGTTACTCAATACTATTAGAACTAGTAGAACGAAAGCAGCTTCCGTAGACAGGCATTTACCTTGATTATCTGGGTGAGGGTTTGGGACGAGGTTTCGGCCACCAAAGCCAACAGCATACACCGGTGAAGTTCTCGGATGCTGGAGGCAATGCTCACCGAGAAGGGGGTGAATGCTCTCTTGTGATCAACGGCATCTTCGGCAATGGACAGGAATTGCTTGGAACCTTCCAAAATGGCGGAGAGAACTTGGAAAGCACAGGCCCGAGTCTGCAGCAGAACAAAACCAATACAGGAGCTGAGCTTGGCACTTGACGGGAGCTGAATTATCTTCCACATCAGTTCCCAAGGATACCGCCGGAGGCTCTGGCTGACCGATGGAAGGCAAAGAGAACCTGAGCCATTGACGTGACCGTTCCTTAGTAAATCTTTAGCAAAAGCTCTTTAGAGCTCTTTGGTGTTATAAAGGGCACTGGGGATAAAGGGCTGGAGTGCCAGTGGAGGGACTTTAAAGTGAATTGGATTGAACTCTCTTTAAGAAACATATTCAACCCCTGTGTCCTAGACCTCATGCTGTTCTACTTACCTTTGCAGACTTGGAAGGCTTCAAATTGTTCCTTTTTTACTGCTATGCGGGTGCGCCCGAGGCACGCATGCATGCAAAGCATGGACTCAGCAGCAGACAAATCGAACTGGTAGCAGACTTCGGAGGATTTCACCACTGCCTTAAACCTTATTTAATTTATTTTCAATAGGATAGAATAGCGCAGGGCAGGGCAGAATAAATAAAATGGAGTGGGGTGGGGTGGGATGGAGAACTCTGCTGTAGTGTTTTATGACCACATTTCAGCGTTCCAAGTAAGGAACCCATTGAAAGCAGCTCTCCCAAGGCAGGTAGATTCCTTAAAGAACGTGTTTATTGGATACATCCCATCAGCACAGCCAGTAAAAACCAACTCTAAAAGGTCCCGTGGTTTTCACCTAATTAAAAAAGTAAAACCTCTCAGGTGTCACCGGTCACATTGTCCAATGAATACAGCTGGCAGGCTCCTCTCCTCCTTCAACAGCCCCCTGTTGCACCTGTTACAATGACCTTGGTTCCCACAGGAAAACTTTTTGTTTTGACTGTTAGCCAGGCTATCTACTCCCCCACCCCTCCCTGCCCCCTCTCAGGCTTCGCGGCAAGTATGAGGCAGCGCAAGAGGGCTTCATCCAGGTTCGCTTCAGAGTTGACGCCGCGATAAAGTGAACCGCACTGCACTGAATTGAATCCCATTCTCTTGCAAGGAGTGCTTGGAAGAGGGCTGTATGCTGGATCGTATGGGATGAGTAGCCAGGAGGGTAACGAATCCTCTTACCTTAGGGGAAGGATCTTTTAAAGCAATTGTCATCAAAGACACCGTCTGTGGGCTTCCTATTCCAGGCTCATCGGGAATAAATGCTGACCAGTAACCGTAGAGGACTTTCTTCTCTATGGATTTCACAGTGGAAAGGAAGCAGGTTAAAGCCCCTTGACGAACTTTAGCTTGGAAAGACCTGGCATGAAAATAGAGACAAAATATAAATAGGCAGAGGAGGGGGGGGGGAACCTGATTTAACACCTTAAGTAAATGACATTGTCTCATTGGTCAAAATGGGCAGGGGGGGAAGTCTTTGATCTTAGAACATAGAATAATAGGGTTGAAAGGGACCTTGGAGGTTTTCTAGTCCCACACCCTACCTAAGCAGGAGACCCTATACCAGTGATGGCTAACCTTTTCCGGATCGAGTGCCCAAAGTGTATGTCCTCCCCCCCAATGCCCCAGTGCATGTGCTGGCTGGTGTGTATGCACACCTCGCAAACCGGAACTTTATTTTCCAGTGCACACTTGCCACCTGGGCAGCTCCTCTTCCCGGTCGTGGATCAGTCAAGCGTGCGCGAAAGGTGGGCACTTGGTGTCGAAAAGGTTCGCCATCACTGGTATAGGGTCTCCTGCGAGAGCAGAAGGTTGGAGTAGATGACCTCCAAGGTCCCTTCCAACTCTGATACTGTCCAGCTGAAGCCGGATGTTTCCCTATCCATACTGTCAAACATGCCTCCTTCAAAATTCAAGAAAGGAAACCCCCAACTTGAGAGACCGCCTGCTGCCAATTACCTCCCACAGACCCATTAGATCTCACAGGGTTGGCCTCCTCCGGGTGCCATCTACCAGCCAATGCCACCTGGCTATTACCCGGGGGAGGGCCTTCTCTGTGGCAGCTCCGGCCCTCTGGAATGAACTCCCCGCAGGGATTCGGACCCTCACCTCTCTCCAGGCCTTCCGAAAAGCCGTCAAAACCTGGCTTTGCCGGCAGGCCTGGGGGTGATGAGTTCCCTCCCCTCTCGACATGTATGGTTGTGCGACTGTTGTTTACTTTTATTATTTGTATTTTGTTTTTATGTTCCCCTTTTTCCCCCTTGAATTGTTCGCTGCCCTGAGTCCTCCCGGAGAAGGGCGGCATACAAATAATAAAATTCTATTCTATTCTATTCAACTCCATTAGTTGTAGAGAAAAGGTACTTTTACTGAATTATGAAGTGAAAGCATCGGGAGTAAAGCAAGATCTGAAACGAAAGGCGCAAAATTGTACCTGTCCCAAATCCCTCCCCCCACTCCCAACAACCCCAAGACGAATGTCCAATCTCCAGCCTCCAAGGGTGTCATGTGGGGGTGCATCTTCAGGTGGTTTCATCCATCTGGTATGCAGAGACGGTTGGCCTTGACCAGACCTAAACAGGGCCATTCAGCATGCGCAGAAGATGGTGAGAATAAAACTCCCTCCTCGTCCCGAGATAGCTCCTCCAGCATGATCCCCTCCCAAATAACGAAACCCCCTTCCTCCCCGTTACCATGGCAGCTGATAGTAAGCAAAGCGATATAGAGGCTGACACATACTCTCAGTCTCCAAGTACTGAGATAAGATTGCACATCATTGCTTCATTTGTCAGCATATTGATGATATCTCACCCCTTGCGCTCACCCAGTGGCCTCACCTAGATAGGAGAGGGGAGAGCACCAAGCTTTACAACACCCTCCTAGGGAGGGGCGTGTCTGCCCTTCCCCAGTCATCACTGCCTGGAATCAACCCCAGAAAAAAGGGGGCAAACCAGCAGAGAACCATGTTGCCACCCCCAATCGTCTGAGATCATCAGGAAGCATACCACGGTTGGGGGTACCGAGGATATTTGTTGCCATGGTTTTGTTTTTACAGATGCAAATTGCCCCATGTCATTTGAAGCCGGCAGTATGCAAAATATTAACCCATGAATAATTGGGAAAACGCTCTCTTTGCTTTTAGGCAATCCTCGACTTACAACTTTCCATTTAGTGACCAAAGTTACAACGGCAGTGAAAATGGTGATCTACCGTATTTTTCGGAGTATAAGACTCACTGGAGTATAAGACGCACCAAGATTTTGAAGATTTTGAACTCTGCAGACCTCCCCATTCATGCCCATTTTTTTTTCCAAAAAAAGGGCATGAATAGCCTTTAGGAGGCATGTAGAGTGCTTCTGGGGGGGTGGGCCAAAAATGAGCAAAAAACGGCCCATTTTGTGCTCATTTCTGCCCTCCTCAGCCCCCAGGAGCACTCTGGAAGCCTCCTAAAGGCTCTGCACTGCTATTTTGGTGAAGGGGTGGGGTTTCAGGAAGCCAAAAATGCTGTATTCAGTGTATAAAACGCACCCAGATTTTCAGCCTCTTTTTAAGGGAAAAAGGTCCGTCTTATACGCCGAAAAATACGGTATGTCCATTTTTTCACACATACGACCGTTGTAGCATCCCCATGATCACATGATCAAAATTCAGAGGCTTGGCAATTGGCTCGTATTTATGACAGTGTCCTGGGGGTCACGTGATCCCCTTTTGTGACCTTCTCACAAGGAAAGTCAATTGTTGGAATCCATTCCGGGTGTTTGTGTGCAGGGCAGCTTCTGCTGTCTGAAACACACACACATAGGGATGCAAAAACATCGCACCAGAAACATCTTTCCTAACTGGCCTGTCAGGACTCACTATGCAGCCTCATGTAACAAGAACTATGTGAGCCAGTTACTCCCACACCTGCCCCTTCTCCCCCTTAGGCTGTGCTGTAACTTCCTATTCCCCCTTTCCCCCTCCCAATGCCATGCAGCTTGTAACTTTCTATCCCCCCTTTGCCCACCCTTTGCCATGATGTGATTTTCTATTGGTTTATTTGTAGAATGCTGTGATTTTTCATTAGTTTACTTGTACCATGTGTGATTATGGCTTAAGAGCCGAGGTGGCGCAGTGGTTAAATGCAGCACTGCAGGCTACTGCTAGATCAGCAGTTCAGCGGTTCAAATCT